TGTACGAAATATGTCATGATGAATCTTGCATGTTGCATGTTGCATGTTGCATGTTGCATGTTGCATGATGTATGTTGCATGTTGCATGGTGCATGTTGCATGTTGCATGTTGCATGTTGCATGTTGCATATTTCATGTTAGAAATTATGCATGACATAAACGTGCAAACAAAGTTTAGAAAAAATGTTGTCGAAGTTATGTTTGGCTGATCAAGTTCACATCGCCCATGATGCAGTTCCGGCTTGATATACAACATGAAACAAAGCTTTTACCAACCATTTTTAGCTGTATTGGAAAAGGAGGTGAAATGCTGACGCAAGTACTAACTGTTCTCCAGTTTGGGTACAATATATCTAATTTGTGTTTTCTTTATTTTTCCTGTTCGTAGATGCTGTCAGGTTCACGATGAGTGTTACGGGGATTGGAAAGAATGCAGACCTAAATCAAACTTATACGATTACAAACTATCTGGAGAACATCCTCAATGCAATATCACGTGCAGTATGTATTGAACTTGACGGAATGGAACTTTTTCGATTTCATCAAATTGATACCACTATGTTCCTTGGCTACAGATTCATTTTACCCAGCGATATATAGTGATAGTCTCTTGCATGTGACGTAAAAGGAGCTCAATTTGGAGGACAAAGCAAAAGAATTCCAATCTTCCGAGAATTGGAAACATATTGTTGTGTCCTCAAAATTGAGCTGCTTTCCGATGTACTGCAAGGGGTCTATATACGTCATACCAAAGTTTGTGTCAAAGAAATCACATAAACCAACTGTAAAAAGTGTATAATTTAAACATAACGCGAGACGAGATTTGTTTCTCTCGAGACAATCAAAGGTTTCAGTACGAGTCTCCGTACTAAATCAAATCTAGTTTTTTTTCTAACATTTTTTTCTGGTATTTTTGTTTTGATTTTGTTGTCAGGGATTACTAACTTAGGCCCAGGGCAAACGTCGGACTAACGTCGCACCGAACCTATTTAACATAGGTTCGGTGGAAGGTCGACTAAGGGCCTACGTGGCGGCAAACGTCAAACCAATGCTGATCTTAATTCACTCACCCATTGTTATTATAGTTTTAATTGGACATGAAAATGCACGGGGGAACGCACGGACATTTGTTTGTCTTTTCCGGATTAATGCATTCACAATACGCAACGCTTTTGCCCGCCGTCCAGCTCGGCTCATCTTCGTTGCTCTCGGATACACCACATTTATTGCAAGTCGGCATCTCACAAACCAGGCAAACAAATTTCGTTTGAACAAAACAAAAACTACGAGACTCAAGAGTCTCGTCTCGTGGCAAGGATTTTCTAAACGCGGATATGTTCAGTTTGAGTAGTTTTGACTTTATTTTCGTATCCAGAGCTCCTCGGTCTCGTTTATCACTCATCTTTGTATAGCGCATGCTCACCAGGGGGGGAATGAGTGGTTGGGAGGTGGGGGAGTGGTTGTTTTCACGGCTTTGGTGTAAGTCATGCGACTTGCATGATTTATTTACTATTTTGCATAATTTATGAATTCAGTTCGGCACGTGTTTAAAACGGCGTTTGCAGCAAAGTCGCTCCAGAGTCGTAATGTCCGACTTTGCTTGTCGAACTTATGCTGGACTCGAACCTATTCAATAGGGTCGTTCTCAATTGCAGCAAACGTCGTACTAGGCATGAGCCTATTTCAAATTTAATAGGTTCGACTAAATTAAGCTCATAGTTAGTTCGACGTTTGCCCTGGGCCTTAGTCTCCTAACCAGCCGCTGTAAGGATAATCTCTTTATACTGTCTATCCTCTCAGTGAGGCGAAAGAACGTAAGACTACCCTAACAGAGGCTGTGTAGGAGACTAGGAATCCCTTAGCATTATGCATAAAGTCTCATATTGAACGTATGAATATTCGAAGCAAAATCGAGACTAACGTTAACCCTGCGTCAATGAATCTGTAGTCAAGGAACCTAGCGATATTTTACCGAAGAGTTCGAGGTCTATTGCCTGAGAGACTGGTTAATCTTTTTACTAAATCGGCACAGTTTGTCTTATATAACGTATCTTTTTCCTTCTTTCTTCCAAAGGTCACAATCCTAAAAATACAGAATGTGAACGAGCCGTCTGTATCTGCGATAAGCTTGCAGCAGAATGCTTTGCGAAAAGTCATTACAACCCTGAGCATAAAAAGCCAACCTTCAACTTTCTGGGATGGTAATTGCTTGAAACACCTGTAATAATCAAATCAACATGTAAAATAAATATGTTGGAGGAAAAAAAAAAAAAAAAAAAAAAAAAAAAAAAAAAAANAAAAAAAAAAAAAAAAAAAAAAAAACCAACAACAACAGAGATTAAACAGCTGTGTTTTAATTGATTGATAACTTAACGCAAATTAACTTCGGCGTCCATATTGATGGGACTTCAAAAAGACACCCTTTCTTATTAACTGTTACTAAAAATATTACAAATTAGCTTGTTACTTATATAATGAAATCTTGAAAAATCTTGAAAAATCTTAAACAAAATAAATGCCCTACTAAATGTTGTTCTGGATATGTTTTGCATTCATGGAATTCACCATCCCTGGAGTAAAAAACTAAAAAACATGAAAAACGTAGCATTATTTGAATAGACCTCTTTACCTTCGTTGTTTGTTTCATTTATTCAGACTTTCTTGTGTAAATATTTGAAAATGTACATTATTTTGTAACAATTCTCAGGGGACGTCACGTTGTCTGAAATGGAAAATTAATTTCGGTGTACGAAGCTATGAAAAAACATTTGTAAATAATGTTTTTTCTTTTTTTAATGAATTATCTTGTATTTGTTAGTAACTTTATAAGGTTGTGAATTAGGATAATGATGGACTGGAATCTTCCAATTACATCGCTGAATGCGGAACAATAATTAGATATTCATATACATATGTTTACTTTGAATTAATTATTCTTTTCCATTATAGCTTCCAATTTCAATCAGCTCTAACTGACTTACACAATGTAACATATAAAAGACAACTTTTTTTCCAGCTAATTTGCTTTATGAGTTGGGTTATCGTCTTGCTTTGAACGCTTGCTTTGCACGCTTGTTAAAATCACATCGTTTATCTCCAACTCTTCTAAAGACTTATTCATGTATCCTTGTTCTCTGTGCACTGCCACAGTCCGAACTGAATTTCTCCTAAAAATCCAGTTTATAATATCACATGCAGCTTTAGTGAGTTGCGAACGAAATTCGCGCGAAATTGTGCCATAAACGAACGGATTGCAACAGTTATGAAGCAACTGTAAATGAGTTGAAAACTTAAGAATTAACATGGAGATCTCGTAATTTTGAAAAACTACTCCACTTATCCACGCTATTTGACCGGGTAGAGTCAGAACTGTGTACAGTGTGACAATAGTTGCCGAAGTCTTGATCACTTCGATATCTCTTCGTCGCTTCAACATCAGGGAGTGGTTTTTGTTGCAGTCAATCTGAGGAGGTTTGTGTTGTTTGAGGTATGAAACAATCTTGATGTACGAAGCTGTTATTATAGTTAATGGAATGACATACTGCACCACGAACAGACTTATAGTATATACTCTATTATAGATCTGAGATGGCCAGATTTCAATGCAGGATCCTGTATTCCTGTCCCATATGGTAACTACATAGACGGGTGATATAAAGGCATTGGCGAAGATCCACAGTCCTGCAGTCACACAGTAAGTAAACTTAATTGATGGTCTTCGCTTGAATGGATAGAGAATAGACCTACATCGAAACATGGCGATGGCCGTCATCAGATACATACTTAGCATTAGAAGACATGTGTAGAAAGATGTGCCAAACTTGCAGGTGAAATTCGAAGTGGTCTTCAAGAAGTAACTAAATGTCAAATAAATAGAGATCGACAAAAGATCAGTAATGCTGAGATTCGCTACCAATATTTCAAACGGAGTCCTCTGATATTTTTTCCGGGTGTAAATCACGAAGAGAACGAGTGAGTTCCCAACGAACGAGGTTATCGATATCAAAACATCAATACTGACTCGAATATTCCATTCCAAAAGGGTAGGACCGCTTTGAGGCTGCATCGTGTTGTTCTTTAATGAAGTCGTGTTCCATTGGAAGGAGTTAGTATGTTGCATGGCGAAGCAAACTTTTCCGTTTATGTGGGTGTGTTTTAGAACGGTCTTGATAAAGAGCTTCTCTTTAATGAAGCCTCTTACAAGAAATGCGTTGAGTGGAAGGATGCGGATTGGTCCTGTGGAGTTTGTTTTAAATTAGATTATGTCACCTGTTCGGGATGATTGTTGTGCAGTTCAACCACAGTTTTTGAATTCAGATTTGCATTAGTTTAAAAGATTACGTGCTTTGGGAATTACAAGGACAGGTTAATCTTCATAAGAATAGCCGAAAACACTCAAAATAATCCGGGATAATAACTAGGTGCTGCAACAAACTGACATGCTAGTCATTAAACTTGTTTTGGGTTAAATGATGACAAGACCGAAGGCTTTCATTAAATCTTTAATTGTAAAATCAATCGAGTATTATAGTCTTGGTTTGATCAGTTGAGTCATTCCGTTTAAAAATGTGCCAACAATCATTCAAATTAATTACCTCAATTTTCAGAATTTCAGTTCGGGATATAGTTAATTTGAAATCTCTTTTTTTACCTCCTAAATTTAGAATATTTGCATTGCATATATTTATACCTACCGATCTATGTTTTGCCAAAATTTAGAGCCTGTTTAATGATCGCCAATGCAAACTAAGGCGTCGTTATGGTAACATCACAAGTAAATAAAAATTTAAGTTCTCTCCCGTGATTCGAGGGTTTTTCTCTGGGTTCACCGGATTTTATGTTTAATTCAAAGCTTGAGATTGAGATTGAGACAAAGAAAAAGAAAAAGAGAAAGAAAGAAAACAACAACAACAACAACAAAAACAAACAAAAAACCCCAATAAAAAATAAAATAAAATAAAAAAAACGACAAGAAAAAACAAGAAAACCAAGAACACAAAGATTAAAAACAACAACAACAACAACAACAACAACAAAAAACAACAATGACAAAAAAAAAACAAAAACAAAACAAAAACAAAAAAAACAAAAAGAAAAAAACCCCAAAAAAACCCAAAAAGACAAAAACAAAAAATAACGAAAACAAGCAGGCTAAATAGAATAATAAAGAAAATAAATCAAAATAAATCATAGAAACAGAGATATAAAGATAAGATGAGCAAGCGTACACAAAACAACGCCGCTCAAGTCAAGCAGTCTCTATGAGTTACGCACAGGTAGCCCATGAATACGAAAATACCGCGCATCACACGTCTCTCCTAAGTAATCACATGAGAAATATTTATATTTGTGTAAGATATTCTCATTTTGTAAGCGTGACAGTTCTCATTACACGACTGACCTATTGTCTGGTGTATTGACAGAGCTAAACCACTCAAGATACCACAGATAGCACGCATGTCGTGACGTTGCTCGTCTCGTTTGAAGCTTGGCCAAATAATCATCAAAGTATCATATTTAATCGTCTGTTTGCCAATACACTCAGTAACTTGTATTTTTGCACCTCTGTATTTTCCTCAACATTCTTGCTTTTGGTTCCTTACGAGGGGAAAAATAACACATCTATGTGATGGGGAATTCTCAAGGTAGCTATGAAGTCAGTCATACAAAGGTATGTTCAATTTTCACGGGTATATTTTCATTGAAACGACCGACCTCAAAGCTAGCTGCATAAACATTTCTAACCATAGCAAGATAGATTCGATCTTTATGAGCATTTTCTTCAAAGAAAAACCTTTTTCAAATCTGTAGCCGGTGCTTTAAAAGAAGGCAAAGTAAAGGATAGATAAATGAGCTTGGATTGAAATATTTCAAGAAAGATTCAAGCTGTGGAAGCTTTATGATGAATAGGTAAGAGAGCTAAATGATGTAGATAGTCACATCTCCAGCTAGCAGGAGACAAAGAAAACAATGGATGATTCTTCATTTCTTCGTTTCTAATTGCTTGAAGGCCGTTAGAATACACTGTAGGTCTTAAAGGATGTATTTGTTCAGAGAGAACAGGCTCCAGCGTTTCCTTCCTCTTTACAGAAAAGGAATATTAACTGAAGGATGGTGTCCGCGGTCAAAACTCATAACACATGACTCTTATACTTAGTAATTTAAAAAGCGATGGTAATGCCTGCAGCATTATATTCTTATAGGTAATATAATACGGTTATAATAAACAACGACAGTGAGATGTGAATCATGTATAATTAACAACAACAACAATTGTGTATTGATATGATATAACTTCCTTTCATATCAGGAAGTGTTTTTGCAGGTTTTTTGGCAGCTGTTAGGAAATGACATTGACACAAACACATACATATATGCTTGAATCTATTAAACACTTGTCAGACGCGATAGAGTTATATGGAACTAATAAATATATGCACAATCGTTTTAAACCTGATAGTGAGATTCATCAAGTCCACGACCTTTTAAGATCACGTCTCTGGCTCCATCTTATGTTTCACAATTTGTCCAGAAATAGAATTCGCAGCGCTAATGCGATGTGCAGACAGTTACAGGAAGTTGATAACGAAAGTGGTCTCGGAACGATTGGAGTTAAAACCGCAGTGATAAATTAGAAAAAATATTAGTGGGAAATGCATCGTATATTGTTATACTTAAATGCGCTTGGTACCTAATGATTTACTGACGTAAATACATCAAAGATATTAGGGATAACTAGAAGGCTATTTACTGATTGCTCGTAAATATTGCGGGGAAGGTCACGGGTAAAATGTTGTTATACGTAGTTACTGTAAAACCGAGTGCGTAGCCTTGGACGGACGGACGGACGGACCAGCGAACTTTTTCAAGTTTAGCCTCATGTTGTCAGCAAACGGTTTTATTTGAATTTCAGCAGCAGTCGTGTTAAATACTATAGAGAAGTAGTATACTGTAGAGAAGTAGTATAGAAACCCGAGGCGTAGCCTTTTCTCTCGATCGTTAAAAGGAGACCATGCTAGCAGGGTACGATAGAGAATACACCTGCACGTTCAATATCAATGTAAAGCATGTTTGGGAATTAGGACAACTTCTAGCCTCGTTATGTTTATCAACACCAGTCCTCTCACTCATAGAATAGCGAAATGAAGCAATACAGCAAAAATCCTATGCTTCCCTCGCTGATAAAACCTCTATGTCAAAATTATGGTTCATTTTACGATAAACTCTTCAATGTCACGCAAGATCCTTTTTTACACGTTTTTTGACTTTAGTTAATTTGCTTTTGTAACAGCCTAAAGAGAATGTGGACAGCGACTCAGAAGGTGAGATAGCAATCAATTTAAGGCGCGATTACACAGAGCAATTTTCTCTGCTTCTCTCGTGTAATCGAGCCTTTACACGTTTAGTGAGAATAATGAAATACAAATTCTGTGAAGACTACAGTGTTATTACTGATAGGGGGACAGACGATGACTGTCACGTTTCCAGGTCCTGTCATACTCAGTGCGCAAGCTCAAATATATAAATTTTGGAAATGATAAGGTTGTTTTTAGTGCGATAAATGTGCGGTAAATCCTATTTCTTACTAGCGACTGATCTCTTACCCAGAGCCTGCGTTACTTTTGGCCTGCGGCGAAGAACGAGGGCTCTGACGTAATCCATTTTTGGCGCATGCGCAATTTTCCGGAAGTGAAAAAAATCAGTCAAAATCATGCTTTCAAAAAGAGTTCTGTGCTTACCTCCGATCGAAATAAAAGTTAGAATTCGGGAACATATTTTTTTTTTTTTGGCAAGTCTTTGAACGCACGCGCTCTTATACCGGAAGTCCAAGAAATCCTGTTCTCAAAAATTGGATTATGCCAGAGCCCTCTTTCTTCACCGCAGGCCAAAAGAAACGCAGGCTCTGGCTACGAGATTGCCTTAGCGACGCTAGAATTAGCCATTCCGAGGTTAAAAAAAAAAAACTGGGTCGAGTTTGCATCGCAGTGTATTTTGGGCCTATATGTAGAAAGAAATGTCACACTTACACTCCTGCCTAATTTGTATCAAAGGAAATTTACAGAGAAAAAAGAAAACAAATGAAATAAATGTTCAGTTTCAGTGGATGGGATTATTTGTTTATTGTGAAGTCGGCACAGAGGCTGATCACAAACACAGCCACTTATAGTGCGCCTTAGTTGGTAACACGAGCTAGTGATTCGGATAGATAAATGCCTTTCGTTTGCCTTCCGTTTACGATCAATTAAAATATAATGATTGTCTCTTTTAAGACATTAAGTGCTCTACGTTTCGGAATTCGTATCAAGACTAATGGAGCTTTTAAGTGTGTCACCAATCACTGAGAAAACTACATCCGGGTTAAAAATAAAAAGCGTTTTGTAAACATTTTCCCTGCAACTGGCCTCTTAGTTTGAGTGTAATGTGGTCTTGCATGTCAGCGGCGGGACTATGTTTCATTCCCTCCCCCTCCCCCCCAACCCCCTCCTCCCCCGGTTACACATGGAAATGGATGCAACTTAAACATTTAATCTTATCCTCAAGTAATGTCTCCTGGTCTGAAATGTAAAAGCATTATGCCCAAGCTAAGGATGTCTATTATCTTTATTAATAAGTTTAAGAGAAAGATCGATTCTGGATCACATTTTTTGGTTATAGTTGAGCGGAAATACGTCACAGCTTAAGCGCTCAATACTAGCTGAATCAGAGTCCATATCAATCATGAAGCTTACTATTTTATAGAGGCTTTGCACCATCACACGATGGCAACCATGACAGGAGCGAGGAAAACTGAAGTCTTTTTCCCTGGAGAACTGAATTCTCTTTCATGTAAATCAGATTAGATCAGATACGATTGTTCCTGCTTCCTGGCATGGCTGCCATCACGTGACGATGCAAAGCCTCTATTCTTACTTTTTCATGGGTGATCAAGATGGCGCACTGGTAATAGAAAGCTGTGTTATTATGAAGTTTACTTTACTATCTTATTATTTATTTTTTATGGATGACCAAGATGGCGCACTTGGGATAGAAAGCTGTGCAATCCCCGCCAGTCGCATTACCGCCTCATCTTCAACTGACGCTGCACCAGCATTCTTTGCGCGCCTCAACGGAACAAAATCTTGGTGCGCGGGGAGTCCAGCGGATTGCTTCCTAGAGGTTGACCTCAATACCATTCATTACGTCACGGCTGTAGCAACGCAAGGGAATCCCTCTGGTAACCATGACTACGTCAAGATGTATAAGATACAGTACTCTACGGATGGCGTGGAGTGGCAGTTTTATAAGGAGAATTATAAAGAGGTATTTAAGGAAGCTTTTCTATTGAGACGTTTATATTTTAGTAGTCGGAGATTAAGCTTTGAGGAGGATGAGGGGTTAGAGAATCCTTAAAATAACCTTAGAAGGCTTTCATTTAGGCTGCGTT